TACTTTGGCTGTTTAGCGTGGCCCTAAGTACTACAGTTGTCTGAGATTAGTGCATAATGTTACGTTTTATTCTATATGTATTGTGATTCCCCCCTCATTCTACAAGTTATATACTGAAGGGGCAGCAAGTTAGGCATATCTTTACTTTCAGTTACCTGACTCCTTTCTGTTTCACTGGTTTCATGGGGCTGGCATGAGGCAAGAAGTTCTCCAAGCCCTTCTCCAGCTTTTGTATATCACCCTTTTCCTCCTTTTCCCTTGTAAGAGGAAGGCAACCCATCCTACGGTGAAGGGAGCACTGTGAGTGCTTGCTTTGGTGTCTGTCAGAACCTAGTCTTGAATTAGCTAAGATTAAAAGTGGTTTTCCCTTCCTCATCCCTCCCAAAAAATGTCTGAGGGCTGGTCCCGGCCATCCTGAGCATCACAGGCCCAAGCTGAAAACGAGACTCTATTTAATCTGTAATTTTTTTCCCACACCGTATGTTGGCAAATCAAATAGAAAGCATTCCATTTAAGTATAAGGAGGTGGAATGATGAGACATAATGAAGATGCTGCAAAACCCAATGTTACATGCATGACACACAGCCTGCTGGACCATGCAATTCTGTAATAGAAAATGAAGGTGGTGCTGGGAGTTGTGGGTGTGATAGGGCTGAACACCACAATACTGCCTTGAGAGTTCCCACAGGGACACAACATTAATTTCTTAAAAGGTTCATCTAGGTGGTGACTCCTGACTAAGATCTGGTAAAGAACTAAATGCTTATATCAGCACATATTTGGAGCAGACATTCAGCTTGATTCTGGTCTAGCATCACTTTTACACTGGTGTAACTCCATTGACTCAGCAGAGTCACCTCAGTTTACTCTGAGATACAGGAGATCAGACTCAAGCCCCATCTCAGCACTAAATACATGAAAAAGAAAAGTTGTTGGAGCCTACGTGTCTATCATAGGCATTTAAACAAGCAATTACAACTTCAGAACCATTACTTAATATTTGGGTTTTTAGCAGGGAGGGAAAGGAGATTTTGTGCATTTAACATAAAATAGCTTGTCCCTGTTTTCTTTCAACAAAAGCATTTTCTCTAGGAGGAACTATCACATGCACTCAAATTGTCTATCAAACCATAACTGCTAATTAAGAACAAAAATGACTGTGAAATTGCAATATAGAAGCCATTTAATTTTACTGGAAATTCTAGGCCTTTACTGTCAATGAAGTAACACTTCTCATCAACCCTGCAGACACCAGCAATGAGTCACATCTCCTTCTTTGGTTTTTCCAATTAATGATGCAGACTGTTTTCATACACTTGCCACTGACGAACTACAGTTGACTGTGTTGTGGTTGTGTTTGGTTATGTTACATATAATTTAGCTAACATGTCTGACAGTGCTACAGATGAGGTTTATTTTTATTCTGTCTGTTTGATACTTTTTTGTACAAAGATACTGTTTACTATTTGCAGTGGGAAACTTCGATATTATACGAGAAGCCCAAGAGGCTCTATGCAAATATTCAAAGAAGAAATATCGCCGCTGCCTTTGTTCATGTCACACTGGCAATTACTAGTAACAGCATGGATGAATCAAGTGTTATGTGCCATCTAAATGTATAATGAAAAACAATGACACCTGGGAATTATTTCCTCTAATATAGATTTAATTATTAATCAAAGCCATGATGTATACTAAATATTGGCAGAATTTCTTGACAGCTGCAGGAATTTAGCTCACTGTGGGACATTTTCATTAAAAAGCTGAGATCAGTTCTGCCCTCATTTACATCCAAACCCCCTTGCAGAAAATTTTGGAAATATGTACTTTCCCCCTCCTCACAATATTCACAGATTCCTTTTTTAAAATCTAAATATAAAAAGAGAGAAAAAAAGTTTTGCTGGGAAGTTTGTACTTCACTCATTAAATTCTAGGTCATATTTTAAAAATAAATTACAGCTACCCCTTACATAACAGTTTTATACTTAAAACATATTTTAATAAAGACCATGTAAGTGTTTTCATTGACAACAAATAAACAGACTGCTGTGAAAATACTACATAATTAATTCTCAGATCAATCCTTAATCTCTGTTAACAATAGGAACTAGTGCCAATTGTGGTGCTGATTTTTGTAACATTGGAATATGAGGAATGAGACCACAATTATTTCACAGCCCATTGAACAGTGAAGTTTTTTTTCATCTCTTTTAAATAAAACATAGTGATCTTAATGGACAACTTGATAACTTTTGCTTACATCAACCATTAGTGGATTTGAATCTTTAATTTTTAATTTAGAATTAAAGGCTCTCTCTATTCTGCTAGCAAGCACTTGAGGTAATCAACAAACTTTAAATAAGTTTTCAGATTGGTTTTTGATGTACTTCGTATAAGTCATAACATGGTTATACATGTTTTCCAATTCTTCATTATAGAAGTAAACTCCACTCATGTAATCATTGATGTCAAAGAGCCAAGTCTTGATTCTAGCCCATAACTTCCAAATATCCAGATTTATGGTGTAATCTTCGGTACCTGAACTTAGAAACCAAATTTTCACCTTACACAGTACATTTAACAAACACCACTGTTTTTCTTCACTATTTTTAATTACACAGAAGTTTCATAGGTCGTGTATCTTTACACTAACTGCAAAGTACACGATCATGATAAGATCAATCTTGTGAATAGTGAAAATTGCTTCAAATTAGGTTAAAAATATTGTCTATTAACAGGGCTCAACAAACTGTGGCGACAACTACTTGCCAGCCCCGCACTGCGCATGCGTGCACTGCCAGTGAATGGGGTGCACGGAGCGACTGGCTGAAATCTACTCGCCATGGGTGAGTAAAAACAGCGGTTTGTCCAGCCCTGTCTATTAAAACGTGGCTAAGGTGAGAGAGAAAATGTGGGGCACTCAAAGCTAAAGTAAGTGAAAATGTGATTGTTCTTTTCAAACAAATGTCTGAAACCTCAAAACAGATCTATAAAGTAGGTAGCAATTGTCAGACCCATTTCACAGCTGGGTAAATTTAAATATAGCTATCAAGTGACTTCAAAAAGAGAATATAGCAAGTCTGTGGCAAAGCTGGGAACAGAAGACTTCTCTCTCTCCCAGTGCTTCTCTATTAGAGACACTGAGCAGACTTAAGAATGATATAGAAGGTGTAAAGTTAGAACAACCTGCCACTTATAGGGGAGTTAAATGGATGTATGTATATAGCACTGCAAAGAGATCTCTCACTGGATTAAGGTTTATCGATCATACTACACAAATGCCTCGAAGACACATTACAAATTAGTCTGTGTTAACCACAGGTTAATTATTCTGCAAAAATAAGACATTTAGAGCGCTGAAGGAATCTAAGTAATGACAGATTACTACAAAATAGAATGATGTATCCAGTGTAATTTGGCTTTTTCTCAGAGGAATTTTAAACTGTAAAAATATGATGCACTGTTAAAGAATATCAGATTTATCCTATCATTTAAGTATTGGCAAGGTTCGTAATGGCCCTCTGGGTCTATAAACCAATGCTGCATCTCAAACACAGTATCTTATCCTCTTTCCTACCATCAGTTGTTGTCCCTTAAGATTTTGTCCTTAGCATCTAACGTACTCTTTCCTATGAGACACTGTCTGCTCTTATGGTTTAAATGATAGCGTTAATGAGGAAGATTCTCACATCTACCTTTCTTATAACTGCATGCCTTCCATTCAGCCCCTCCTCCAAATTTAGTCTCTCCAAAAGGAAACTTTTTATCTTTCCTTTCCATCTACTCTCCTCTGTCTCTTCTCTATTTCAATTGAAAACACGATTAATAATTTCTGCATGACAAACTGGGAAATAACATGTATTATTTGTATGATTATGTGCCTGACTCTGTTTATTATGGGTTACTTGCAATGGAGCTGGATCAAAAAGCATTCTTAAAAGAACCAAGCACACACCAAACAGAAAAAAATAGTAGTCAGATTTAGAGCCATGAAGAGGTGATGTCCAGGTCTGAACCCTAGTGACATAATCGTCTGGCCAAGGCTGATGAGCAAAGGGAACACTCAGCTATTACAGGAGCGTGGGCCTAGAAACAGGTGACCTGGGTGAGGCTGCCCTGGAAGAATCAATGAAAGTTACACAGAAACAAAGATACACAGAAAGATACACAGAAACAAAGACAGCCAGCTGCAAGCAGAACAATCTGTCTTTCCCAGCCAGAGATGGGGATTAGCTGAGGAACCTACAAAAGCTAGTGAGGAATGATTAAGGTGTAGGTAAGAGCAATGCATCCAGCATCTTTATTGTTTTTACCCTTTGCTCTATGTGCTTGTACCTCTGGGGAAACGAATAACATTTTGTTTTGAGATGTTTTAATCAACTCCCTGGTCACAGGTTCTCAGTGAAAGGGCTTAAAGATGCCAAACACAGTTCAGCCTGTGTCATTAACCTGTCTGAGAACCAGCGAGACTGCAAACCAATGACCCAGTCCCTGCATGGTTCTGCATAGTGAAGGCAGGCCTGTCTCCTAAAGGGTGCACTTGAGAGGGACCAAAAGAGGTCCAAGGCACAGTTCACCCTCCAACTACGATGCCTTGTATCCCAGGCTACGTATAGACTGCAGGTTTCTTGCACAAGAAGCTTTTTTCGGAAGAGAGCTTCTGAAAAAAGTTCTTGCACAAGAGAGCGTTTAAACTGCAAAAGCTCATCGAAAAAAGCTATCTGCTTTTTCGAAAGATAGCGTCCAGACTGCCTGGATGCTATCTCACATGTAAGCATTGATTGCTATTGACAGAATGGCCACCAGGGCATCTGTGCTTTTTCCTCTTTCCTCTTCTTCCGAAAAAACTCCCTCTTCCCCATCCACATACGCCTTTTTGCAAAAGAGCTCTTTCGGAAAAAGACTTCTTACTCGTAGAAAGAGGATTATCAATTGAGAAAAAAGCCCTCTGTTCTTTTGATTTACTGTCAAAAGAACATGCTTGCAATGTGGACCTAACTCAAGTTTTGTCGGAAAAATGGCCATTTTTCTGACAAAACTCTGTAATTTAGACATAGCCCCAGATTTACAACCCCACCATTCTCTTTACACTTCTCCCTATGTAGCCTGTGTTTAAGGGCGATCCCTTTTGTCTCTGTAACACAGCCTTACTCTCTCTTTTCCTCCCCATTCTCTGAAAACCATTGTCCAGTTCTTGTCCATCATTATCTTGTCTGTTTTAAACTTCTTTTCTAGACCCTCCTACCTCTTCCATCTTTTCTCCCCAATCAAATTCACCTAGTGCTGCCAAAATCCTTCTCTCCAGTCACTCCAATAAAATTGCTGTCCTTTGAGAAAGTAGGACTGAATCTGTATTCAAGTTTCATTTCCTAATCTTCAAAATGTTACATAATCTTGGTCCCAACTGTATATTAGTTCTCATTTCCTCTCATTTTGTATGGTATTCCTGACTCTCCTTCCCTGCTGTTCCCTTATTATTGTTCTTGCATTCATAGCTATTCATTTCTATTATCTTGCTCCTGTGCCAAGAACAATCTCAGACTCCCTGACCTCCAGCAAGTACTTTTACTGCTGCTTGCGCTAGGAAAGCTTGCTATCTTTACCTTCACCCAAAATCTGCCTCCCATTTTCTCTTACTTGAACTAGTGTTCCATGGCTCATTTATTCATTACAAAGAATAAACACTAACCCAAGACCCCAGTCAAACTAATCTGTTCTTTTGCTTTGTACATTTACACTTTCTGAAGGCTAATTTCCTTTCTCAGTACAATCACTATCTTTTGTGAATGTAATTGATTTCTACAAATACAATAAGAGGATCAGATAACACAGGTGAAAAAACAGTTTGTGCTTTAAAGTTGGAAAATTTCTAAATATGTAGGTGCAGCAGATGGTTCTATAAAAGTTAAGTAACCTTTACTCTGATGCTGGATCGTGTAAGCAGCCTTTCAGTTTTCTGTATTTTATCCAAGGGCTTTCAGCTGAAAGAGAATCAAATACACAACTTTCTTATGCCTAGTTACCTTGTACTGCACTGTATGCAGATAAATTATGTGGTAAATACCACATGATGCAACTACTGAATATTTCAAAAGGAACAATAGCCAGATTAGATATCTATAATCAAATTTGACTACACAAATTCATATTGAATTTGACTAAGTGGTGTTTGAAAGTGCAGATTTGTGGTGGCTGTTACATGCGTATAACTTAGTGCACTATATACTTAGAGTGATGTCTACATTACAGATAAGCAGATGATTATTTCAATGTTTAGCCAAAGATTACGTTTATAGGGTTTAACCCACTCCTATTTATGTCAACTTTAAGTTTTGTCTCTGACTTAATCAGGAATTGGATCAGACTGTCAATGAGCACGATGGGAATGTTTTACTAGATCAAAAATATCCACATTAGCAAGATTTACTGATTTTTACTTTGCTTAACACATATAGACCATGCTAAAATAAATTAGTGCTTTACATGAAGCTGGGAGATAAACAGTTAATCTATGTAGCAAAAGGATATGAACAAAACCTTCATCCAAGCTGCAGACTGCTGTTTGGAGTTGATCTTCTAATTGCACCAATTTCTCACTTATTGCTTCACATTTTTCTCCCAGTTCTGCAGAAAATAAGTGGAAGTCCTAGGAGTTAAAGAAAAGAAAATGTGATTGCTGTTTAATCCATTAGTACAGATCAAATTTGTAGCAAATTCAGGACAAAATAAGTATTTTAGAACAGTAAGACTGAATGACTCAGGGACTTGTTAATAGGACAATTCCTTGCATTGCTAGGTCACTTGTTCAAACCAGGGTCCTGTTATCATATGATGATTTGCTGACTTATATGAAATGAAATGAGCTAGTGTTCTCAATCCATCCCCAAGCAGAAAGATAAGTCATGATGATAATTACACTCAAAGGGAATTAAATGGACACAGACTGAATTGCCCCCACTCCTCACAGTAGTTCCAGCCCTTCAGTGAAGGGAAATCTTGCGCTGCCCATGCTGTGAATGTTTTATTCTTAAATAGACTATCGACTGTCCAATAAGTTCTTGGACTGCATTGGAGACAACTTTTTATTTCAGAAGGTGGAAAAAGCTACTGGGGGGGAAGCTGTTCTAGATTTGATAGGGAGGAACTGGTTGAGAATTTGAAAGTGGAAGGCAGCTTGGGTGAAAGTGATCACGAAATCATAGAGTTCACAATTCTAAGAAACAGTAGAAGGGAGAACAGCAAAATAGAAACAATGAATTTCGGGAAGGCAGATTTTGGTAAGCTCAGAGAGCTGATAGGTAAGGTCCCATGGGAATCAAGACTGAGGGGGAAAACAACTGAGGAGAGTTGGCAGTTTTTCAAAGGGACATTGTTAAGGGCCCAAAAGCAAGCTATTCCGCTGCGTCGGAAAGATAGAAAATATGGCAAAAGACCGCCTTGGCTTAACCACGAGGTCTTGCATGATCTAAAAATAAAAAAGGAGTCATATAAAAATGGAAAGTGGGACAAATTACAAAGAATGAAAAAAGGCAAACATCACAGGAATGCAGGGGCAAGATTAGAAAGGCAAAGGCACAAAATGAGCTCAGTTTAGATTAAGAGAATTCTGCTATTGCACTGGTCACCAACCAGTAGATCAGGATCTACTAGTAGATCCTGGGGCCTCTGACAGGTGATCCTGAATACTTTGGCCAGGAGGTTATCAAGTGCCAGCACAGCCCTTCCCCCCACTGCCTTGCTGCTCCTGCCCTCTGCTGTGGAGCTGTCTCCTGTGAGCCTCCTGTTTGTTGTGCAGGGTGAAGGAGACTGAGGAGGGGATGCTGAGATGTTAGTGTCCACCTCCCTCCACTCCTGTACCCCAACTCTACAGAGAGAGTAGGGTGAGGCCTCAGAAGAGATGTGGCAGGGACAGGGCCTCAGAGAAAGACAGTGAAGAAGGCGGGGCAAGGATATTCGGGTTTGAGGTAGACCTTGGATTGACTTAAATTCAAAAAGTGATCTTGTGCTTGAAAAAGGTTGTAGACTATTGGGCTATTGGAATACAAGAAAATAGAAGTTTAAAATATAGCTGTTTCCCACTATTTTTCATCTCAATCACAGCAATTGAAAAATATGCGGTGCTGTGTCTGCTTACTGGATGGATCAAATTTTGCAATTAACCAGGTTTAGAATATTCACTGTACACATTTTCATTTGGATATTTTACACAATATATTTCCTTACAGTATCATTCCTCATTAGGTGACCAATGGGTAAATGATCGTTTTGGGAGAAAAAAGTTCTAAAATTAATTGGAACAGTGAACACAAGGCAGTTTTGCTATTTTGATCTGTACCTGCATCAACACTGGTTGACATGGCCAGACTCAGGGGAAAGTTAATTATATGTACATGGGTTATAAAATACCATATCTGAGTTTCCATGACCACAAGATTGAGACAACCATGGTTATTCTTCTCTTGGTGTAACCCCTAAGAAATTTATCCAAACAGGTGATGTTAATTTTACACATACAGTTAGTGTCTTAGGTCTTAAGTGAGCCTCAGAATGTACAATGCCTGCTGCTGGGGTGCTTCTTTAAATCAGGGCATAAATAATTGCAAAAGATTCTGGGGCCTAGTCAGGAACCCAAGCATTCACTAATCACAAGTAAAACCAGAAATTTCTCTTCTGCAGAAAAATGCAGGAGTAGGGGGAAGAGCTATAGCTGGGTGGGTGAGTGTAAGGGGGCAACTGAGAAAAACTAAGGTGACCAAATAGCTTCACTGCCTAGGTCACCAACGTGGGACAGAACTTCTCTCATGAAGCATGTGTGCTATTCTTTGGTGGAGTGTGCCGTCCAATGTGAAGTATTTTGAGTCCCAGCTATATTGTTTCTGTGGATCTTGAGTGTACGCATACTTGTCCATACTGAAATCTAGTGAATTTACACCAGTGATGAATTTGGTCAATTGTTTTTAAATTCAGAGGCAGGTGGGGAGAAGGTGGCATCTCTGTATATTGACTGTAAATGTCCTTATTTCAGAATTGGCTAAAGAAAATGAGTCATTCATTGAGCTGGTAAATTGTTATTCAGTACACCAGTAAGCTCTTGAACATTTTTTAGGGAGAGGGATAACCTGAGTAATTTACACAACTGGAAGGCTATTAGAGAATTGTTTTGTGAAAGGCATACAAGAAAAGATTGCAGTATTCTAAGCAAAACTTTGGTCTCTCTCCTGCTCGAAAGAGAAGAGCCAGTAAATTATTTATACTCTCTGCTCTGAAAGTGTATCTAAAATTGATTACCTAGTGAAAGTTCCATCTTTGAATGCCATTTTTTCTAAAGTTCACTAGTCAAAAGACAATTAGATCTCCATCTAGCCATCATTTCAAGTGTGTATGGGGGGAAGGGGAGGAGAGACAGGGTTTTTGTGCGGTGACAGTTTGCTTGGTACTATAAAATACAAGCACTTGATTTAGCAAGAAAAGCTTTTAACTAGGATTTGAAAACTCAAGTGTAGGCTAGTTTTGATGGATAAAACATATGAATGAAGTTTTCCAAATCAAGCTATCACTGGGGACTGTGTACTCAAGTAAAATAAATTACCACAGAACATGAAGTGCTGACCCAAAGTGACTTGTAAACAAAAAGGAGACTCTAGTTCCTTATTATCAATATATTGAGTACTTTGGCTGGATAAGACTATAATGCATTGCTTTAATTAAGGTTTATTAGTATATTAAATTATAGACCAGATTCTCACTACCAAAAATTGAGATTTACAAAACTGGTTTGAAAAAAAATCATCATTGGAGGCAAGTTAAAAACACTGTATAGATTAAGTGGTTGCCTTTGAAAAAGTATCCTTCTGAGTACATTTAAGCAAAGTGATATACTAAGGGTATGTGTTACAATGGGATGTTCCTATTAAGTGTGAAGTCAGAGTCCTTACCTAGAGTAATATTGCATGGACAGGTTTTAATCCCTAATCACTATTGCTGAAAGACAGGATTGGCTTTCAAAATCCTTTCAGCCTAACTCCTCCTCCTCCTCCTCTAATATTGTATTTATCTCTGCTTCATGGTGTACAAAATACTGAGGAACATTTAGACCTCTTCACTGCAGCTTTATCTCATGTGATTGACATTGAATTGGTCTAGCTCAGCAGTGAGTGACCACACCACAAAGCCTTACCCGAGTTACTGTTCCCTCAGTAATATGCACTCATCCCTGGGTGTAGCTAAGACAGCCAGGGGCATATCTTATGGTTCTTGGTACTGGGGTAAGTGATTTTAAGGTATAGCCTCAGACAATCCAGGTAGCCCAGAGGGAAGTGTGTGTATGGGTAGGAGGTTGAGGACAACACCCAAGTGAAAGCCTGGGTTTTAATTCTGCAGTGAAAAAATACACTGGTCAATGAAGGCCAATTCTATGTTGATCTACCTGAAACAGGCTTTAGTCTGTTAATAACACAGGTCATCTCAGTTTGGCTCCTCAAGATCATCCCTGAAAATCACATGCAAAAGGAGATCATCCACAACACCCACCTCTTCACAGCTCTGATCTGTGGACTCCTAACCAGACCTTGCTTTTCCTTTTGTTTTCTGATTCAGCAGTTAAGGAGAAAAGGTCTTTCTTTTGGCATATCTGGTATTGCTTATCTTTTAGCTTTTGTGGGTACTCCAAACTCTTCTTAGAGCAGCTTTTACCTATGAGAAGGATGTGCCCCTCTTGGGGAAAGAGGTTGTGGACAGACCTCTCAACTGCTGTCCATGGTCCCAAAAACATGACCCAAGTGTAGCAATGTCAGCCTGAGTCCTCAAAGAGCCTCAAACTGTAGTGTAGAGGTGAGATTACCATAAATTCCAGTGAATGAACACCAATGACAATTCTTTAAATGTCAACATTTTAAACTATCCCACTGCTCAGCAATGCACGTAAGAAAGAAGAGAAAGCATCATGGTATAAGAATCTACAGAATCTACTCTGTATGTCTGCAACCTTTACACCTGTCAGGGTTGGAGGGGGCATGATTGATTTCCTATTTCTGAAGCAAGATCCCCCAACTTTGAAAAGTTTGGGGTTTGCTGCATTAGAAAATTCCCAGTTTATTCCTCTCTTTCCACTCCAATGTCCCGTGTCACTCCAGAGTCTAATGTGTCTTTCCGGCTTAATTTCAATGTAATCGCAAATAAAACCAACAGTCCAGGACACTGAAGTAACCTGAAACAGAATCTTTCCCTCTCTGTTTGTTCACTGTATACAAGAAGAAATTTTCTCTCTCTTCTGTATCAGTTAGACTGGAACTTTTAGCTCTTCCTCTCTTGATTTTCACGGCCACACCAAGTTTGCACAACTTGATAGACTTGGATAACCTGCAGACATTGCCTGGTTATTGGTGCTGTCCAGGGAATTTCCAATGCTTCTGATTTAAACTTGAGGTTTAGCTTGAGACTTCAATCCCTTGGGGTAGTCAGGACGTCAGAGCTTTTCTTTATTTACTCTTTTGACTGGCTGAGGAATCAGAGCTCCGAGCACCCTTTTAATGTGACTTCCATGAACTTGATGGCAGTTAGTTTTCAGATAAATGATGTACCCATGTGCTGTTACAGAGATGCTCTACAAAATCTGTCTCAGGATGATCTGCTAGGCAAAGAAATGGC